TTTTGCAAGAAAATTCACAAAAAAATTCTGCGAATATTTTTTTTGCAAGAAATTTGCAAGAAAATAATACTTTTCTAGTAGTTATAAAAAAAAATTCATTATCAAATGTGAGTATTTTATTTTATCGTATTAGTTAGGTGTTGATAAAAAAAAATGCCCTCTATCTGAAGCATAATTATTATTATTAGTTATTATAGATGTGTATTTCTACTTAAATAAATAACAATTAATTATATCATTAAATTAAATTGGCATTTATATAAGTTATCGAGTTTATAATATACATCTTCTTTAGGATACTGCTGTTGAAACTTTCACCCCTCCCAAACACCCCCAACCCCCTTCACTCCTTTTCAACGATTTAATTATTAATTAAAAAATTTAATAAATAGATAAAAGTCTACATATTTTTATAAAATTTTAAATTTATTAGATATTTCATATTTTATTGATTCAACATAATGATTATTCACAAAAGTATATCATATCTTAATTTAAATATATACAATAAAGTATTAAATAACTTTTAAACTTTATAAAAATTTATAAAGTTAATTTATTCATAAAAAATTTTAATTTAATAGTTGAATAGTCAAAAATTAATATATATTATTAATTATGAGATATTGAACAAGATAACTCTATTATGAGTTGCTCTTGAAGTAAATAAATCATTTTTTATATATAATTTTTTAATATTAAATAGTAAATAGATAGTTGAATTTCTTAAACGTGTTAAAAAAATTTGTTGAGAGACAAATCTTATTTAATTGATGATACCTAAAAAGAAACTAGTTTTTGATTATCATTTAGAAAAACTATATTGGATTGATAAAAGAAAATTCAATATTAGACAAAACAAAAAAGTTGGAGAAAAAAAATATAAGATGTCCATACAAATTTAAAATAATTCTATACTTTTTTTAAACCAAAAATAAGTATCTTTTAATAATTTATTTATAAAAAAAAAAGACTTTTAACTGATATTCGAATTTACCCTATATTTTATACGTGCCCTTATAAACACAATGATTGATCAAAGAGAAGATGAATTGGTAAGAAGACTTAAAAGAGAAATGTACAACTTCCTCGTTGCTGGACCTACTGTGGAACGTGCAATGCAATGCATGGATTGTGAAAATTATAGGTCTTTGAGCTTCGATGGGAGATAGCTACAGTACATATAGAACTGATAGAAGGACCCAAACTATTTAATTTATTAAATGATCTGTGGAGCCATTTCTCCTTCCCTTTCTTTTTCCTCTTTATTTATTTTGGATTTATGCATTCCTCATTCACATGCAATTCCTGTACCACCATATACTACGTACTATTAATACAAATTAATTCTTACTTGTTACTTTCAAGTTAAATATTGCATAATAAATTATATTTATAGAAAAACAAATTATATAGATTATTAGGACTTTGAGAAGATCAGTTTTTAATTTTTAGTTAAATACCTGGTTAGAAGAAGAATAAGAAGAAAAAAAAAAAAAAAGGGTTATGTGGCTTCTTGAATCATCTTTTGCCAGAACTCAGTTTGGCTTCTGTGAAGTCGTTTTTGGATTGCTGAAGCTCTCTAAAGACTGAACTTCAATAACTGCATATGTATGAATTGGTGAATCGAATTCAATATTGCAAAAATATTAATGTTAAGGGAGCTGTTTCTTTATTTGCATTAAATACTATGATGTTGGTTCTTGCTGAATGCCTCAGATCTTCAACTTTATTTTGTTATTCCATCATTATGAAATATGAATTCACGTTTTATCTTCCTATATCTATTCATTCGTAAATTCAATAATCCATTTAATTGTAAAAAAAAATAAAAATGAATGGATTAGTTAGATTAAAATACTATTTGTTACTTGATGGGTATATATTGAACTGCATTACTAAACATTTTTTAGGTTTAGTAATTTATTGGGTCATATAATCCAAGACATAAATATTATAAGGAAACATTAAATTTTTTTTTATAAAATATATTTAAAAATGAAATAATATATATAT